CTCAACCGTGATCTTCAGTTTGTGTCGCCCTACATGTAATCTCACCATACTGTTCTGTGTTCGTAAAATCTTCCTAACTGTCCTGTTTTGAAACCATTACCTTGATTACTTGTGATTATCTCTCTGCCTTAATTAGTTTGTACAGTTTTTGATTACTTGTCACTATTGTTTGACCCTGGTCATGTGACTCTGATACCTACTCATGTTATTCCAGTCATTTGGTTTGTCTCTAGTACTATCTTACTTTTGATTATTGGTAATCATCTCCCTGCTTTAATTAATCGGCTCATAGATCGTCGTTTCACTCATTATTCAGCTGTCAACACTTTATTCACACCATTTGTATTAATCTGTTGACGCTCTTGATTATCTGCAAAGACTTGTTATTCAGCCTGTCGACAGTCTACTCACACTATTTGTACTTATCTGTTGACACTCTTAATTACCTGGAATTATCTTGCCATTGTCTCTCCACCTATATATTCTGTGCCTGGGGACCTCTCTCCACTTCACCTGATGAAGGAGCAGTGTTCCAAAAGCTTGTGATTTCAAATAAACCCATTGGACTAAAACCTGGTGCCATGTGACTTCTGACTTGTCCACCCCAGTCCAACACTGGCATCTCCACACCATGGAAAGATAGTGCTGGAGGGAGGTTTTCAGAGGCATTGTGATTGATTGTGGGGAAGATGGGACCTGTACTAGCTGGATGAGTTACACCCCAGCAGGACTAGAACAGTGGCCTTGCAGAGGCATTTGGTAGTACTGTCACTGAAGATTTAAACCAGAATGGTATAAGGATGGGAATCTGAGCAGGGACACGAGAATGAGGGAAATAAAGGTGAAAGTCAGGATAAAGTAAAAAGCAAAAGTAGAAGGCAAAGGAACCAAGGACAAGGGATTAAGCATTTTATATACACAAACACATGCAGACATGGAAATACTTGATTCCTTCACCAAATTCTATGTTTGCTTACGAGAAATAGGTAGGATTGAGTGATGAGGAATAAATACGCAGGCTCAGGGCCAGTTAGACAAGTTGAGTGGGCAAATGCATGGCAGAGCAGAATAACATGATAAAAGTCCACTTGGGTAGAAAAAATAGAATATCACAGTATTACTTAACTGATGATAGATTGAGAAATGTTGATCTACAGAGGGAGCAGGGTGTCCTTGTACACCAGTCATTGAAAACCTATAGGTGGAGCAACAGTTAAGGCAGCCAGTGATTACGTTCAGCCTTCATTTTAAAAGGGTTTAAGTACAAGAGCAGGACAGTGTTGCTTGGGTTGACTGGGCCCATATTCATTGGAGTTTAGGGGAAGAGAGGGGATCTCACTGAAATATACAAAATACTGACAGAAACAGAAAGTGCTGGAATATTTAGCAGGTTGCTTCTGATAAAGGGCCACTGGATCTAAAATGCTAACTCTATTTTTCTCACCGCAGATGCTGCCAGACCTGCTGAATTTCTCTACCTTTCTGTCTTTGTTTCAGGTCTCCAGCTTTTGCAGTTTGTTTTATTTGTTTCATTTAACTGAATGCATTTTTTTTAAGCACAGGTTCAACATTCTCTAGATCTCTATCTGAGGACAGGTGTTTTAAACTGGGTATTCATCTTTGTTGCTTCCCACTACAACTTTCCAAAATGTACCTACCCCTCAGAAAACCAAGGGTTGCATAGCTCCACATGCACACATCTCTCTGTCACTACTTCATTTCCATGTCAGTGAAATTCTTAACCTCAAATTTCTCTAATATCCCATTACCAGATTTCTAAATTGTACTCTCCACAAACGTCAATTGGTGTGAGACTGTCACCAATGCTGTCTTACCATTTAAAGCTTTTGTCTTTCATTACTTCCATGCATTTTCTGTACAACCTCATACCCGTCCTATCCCATACAATGTCTATTACACTTCAGCACATCAAATGCAAAATCCTGGCCCTCATTTATAAATCCCTCAAATTCAATCTCAATGGCCTCCTTCATATTTGCACTGCAGCTTTGCCATTTGGTCCTCCAACTCTGACCTCCTACGCAGTCCACACACTACCTTTATAAGCCGTAAAATCTTCGAACAGTTTGCCTTCCCTTTTGACATTCAATCCCTCAAGTTATTCAGTATGATATTTACCCCATTCTCATTAAAGCCTCTTCAAATGTACCTTTTCAGCCTTGCGTCTGTTCAATAATCCAAACTGTCTCACGGACAAATGCTGGGAACTGACTTATACTTTTTTTTACACTGAAGTGTACTGTAAAAAATACGTGGAACAATCCCTCTTCCGTACCTACACCGGCCCTAAACCCCACCTCTTCCTCCGTTACATTGATGACTGTATCGGCGCCGCCTCGTGCTCCCACGAGGAGCTCAAACAGTTCATACACTTCACTAACATCTTCCACCCCAACCTTAAGTTTACCTGGACCATCTCTAACACCTCTCTCCCCTTCCTGGACCTCTCTGTCTCCATATCGGGCAACCACCTAGAAACCGATATTCATTTCAAGCCCACCGACTCCCACAGCTACCTAGAATACTCCTCCTCCCACCCACCTTCCTGCAAAAATGCTATCCCCTCCTCGGTGGTCGAGAACGCCCTCAACCGTGTCTCCCACATCTCCCGCACCTCATCCCTCACACCCCGTCCACGCAATAAGAACCAAAAAAGAATCCCCCTCGTCCTCACGTACCACCCCACCAACCTCCAGTTCCAACGCATCATCCTCCGACACTTCCGCCATCTGCAATCCGACCCCACCACCAAAGACATCTTTCCCTCCCCACCCTTATCTGCTTTCCGGAGGGACAACTCTCTCCGTGACTCCCTTGTCCGCTCCACACTCCCCTCCAGCTCCACCACACCCGGCACTTTTCCCTGCAACCGCAGGAAGTGCTACACCTGCCCCCATACCTCCTCCCTCACCCCCATCCCAGGCCCCAAGAAGACTTTCCACATCAAGCAGATGTTCACCTGCACATCTGCCAATGTGGTATACTGCATCCGCTGTACCCGGTGTGGCTTCCTCTACATCGGGGAAACCAAGCGGAGACTCGGGGACCGCTTTGCAGAACACCTACGCTCGGTTCGCAATAAACAACTGCACCTCCCAGTCGCGAACCATTTCAACTCCCCCTCCCATTCCTCAGACGACATGTCCATCCTGGGCCTCCTGCAGTGCCACAACGATGCCACCCGAAGGTTGCAGGAACAGCAACTCATATTCCGCTTGGGAACCCTGCAGCCCAATGGTATCAATGTGGATTTCACAAGTTTCAAAATCTCCCCTCCCCCTACCGCATCCCAAAACCAGTCCAGCTCGTCCCTGCCTCCCTAACCTGTTCTTCCTCCCACCTATCCCCTCCTCCCACCTCAAGCCGCACCTCCATCTCCTACCGACCAACCTCATCCCGCCCCCTTGACCTGTCCGTCCTCCCTGGACTGACCTATCCCCTTCCTAACTCCCTACCTACACTCACCTTTCCTGGCTCCATCCCCGCCTCTTCGACCTGTTTGTTTCCTCTCCACCTATCCTCTCCTCTATCCCTCTTCTATCCGCCTCCCACTCTCTCCCTATTTATTTCAAAACCCCCTTCCCCTCCCCCTTTTCTGATGAAGGGTCTAGGCCCGAAACGTCAGCCTCTCTGCTCCTATGATGCTGCTTGGCCTGCTGTGTTCATCCAGCCCTGCACCTTGTTGTCTCGGATTCTCCAGCATCTGCAGTTCCTACTATCTCTGTAAAAAATGCAAGCTGTTGTCAGATTAAGTTAGTAAAGGGATCTCAACCAGAAAATGATGAAATATTCTTAATTCATAGCACAGTAGGAATTGTATTCTCTGCAGAAAGATCAATTAAAACACCAACAAGCTGATATGAGATCAAAAGAGAGGTTACACCAACATCTCAATCAGCAACAGATATTTGTTAGTACCCAGAAAGAATGAAGCAGAGAGTTCTAAGATGTAGTAGCCAAAGTAACATAAAACATTTGATTATAATACTGTATTCAATGGCCTTTTGGAGAAAGTGTTCTAATTAACAGTCAGCACATCATGCTGTTTAGTTGCAACAGAAAGCACAACAGAAACAAATACATATGAATTATGTTCTATACTTGTTTATTCCAGTCTATTAAGTTGTCATTAATACTGTGAAATGCTTACAATGCTTACATGCTTACCAATATCAGTATGAACACACTGAATCTCAACATCATTGAAGACCGGGTTCAAAAACGAAGGACAAATTTTCACTTGCATGGTAACCTTTCACCCTCCGGGCATCCCCAAAGTACCTTTATCAACGATGGTCTTTTGAGGTGCGATCACTTTTGTAACTGTAGGAAACTCAGCAGAACCTTCCACCAACAGCAATTGGACAAGTTACCAGTGTCGGATGAAGAATAAATACTGGTTAGGACACTGGGCAGAATTGCCTTGATATTTAAAAATGATCATGGGATAGCGTTTTACAGCATGAAAAGAGGGCCTTCGGCCCATCGTGTCTAAGCCAGTTATCAAGCGATAATCTTTGATATTTACCTCGGGGTGGGGTGGGGGCAGACAGCGCCATCGGCGCAAGATCACAAGGAAAGATAGCAACTCTGAGAGTGCAGCAGTTCCTCGGTTACGCACTGGAATGTCAGCTTTGATTGTGTGCTCAGGTCTCTAGAGTGGGTCTTAAACCCTTATCAGGCTGCAGCCTATAACTGTATCCCCACAGACACCTGCTCGCATCCAAAAATCTTTCTAAAATATTCGTGTACCAGGAAAGATGACCAAAATTTTGACAACAGAGGAATATGCGAACGCCCTGGGACTTTAAATGTATTAAAGATTTTTAATATACTCCCGCACACTGGTATATTTCACACATACCCCATCAACACATAGCTCATCAAAGCAATGATCTAAACTCGAGCAGACATACTACTTTGTACCCTTGGTCTTTGGTTAGTGACTTACTCTGTTTTCCTGGTTTAATTTGACTTACTTTTGTTACTTAGAAAAGCAAATTTTCGAGGATCAGTAATTTGACGTCCCCAACAACCAACGATGAGGGACACGATTGTTCTAAACTCCTCAGTCCAACTCCACCTTCCCCCAGCCCAAACACTGGCACCCTTTCTTACGCGTCACTTCCGTGACGTCCCATCATCCAGTTCCCCCACCCCCAAAGGACAACCCGTCGGCAGACATCACTTCCGCCCCGCTCTGTATTACCCGACTCCACCAGAGAGCGGTTCCTACTATCTCTGATTCGATTCCACCAGAGAGCCCTTCCCCTTCCAGACGCGTCGCCTCACTTCCGCCCCTCACGGCCGCCGGGTAATCTCCCTCCTCCCAGAGTGTCACACTCGCCCCGCAAACGGTGGCTGTGGTGGTCCTGAACTCAACCGGAACGAGGGCTGTCGCTGGCACAGGACGCATGCGATCCGCAGCGATTCCAAGTTGTCCCAGCCACTCCGCTTAAAGATTGTCACCCCTTTGATGATGAATGTTTAAACCTTCCTGAATCAGATTGTCTCTATGTCTCATTCTCTTCTGTTTATACCCCGAGCTTTTATTCTCCGCCAAGGTTATTGAACGCAGGGATTTAACAAGCACAACTCCTCCAAATATTTAATTAATGTGTTACACTGTCAGTAAAATAAACTTGACATTACACACTGACTTCCAATGAACAGTTCCGGGGCTGGGAATGGATCTTGTCCTGTTGTGGGCCTGAAGTGTTAATTTTTAAAAGATAATTCCCTCCTGTATTCTTAAGTATTTTGTCATTCTGTGATTTTTTTCGGGATTTCCATCTGATTTGTTTTATTTGAAATAGTGGGGGCTGATTTATTTTTCTCTGGAGTTGGGAGACCCAGACTTTAGCCTCGTCCACTTCCTCCTCCGTTCCCGGGTCTTTGCTCTGGTCTGGCCGCCCTTGGGCGACCCTGCAACCTCCGTTCGCTGCAGCTCCCAACAAGGCTGACCCCGTCCTGCTATTTCCACGGCTTTGTTCGGCTGAGCTTTTTGTTTTGTGTGTATAAATATATTTGCTATATAGAGGGCTTTAAAGTTTTCAAGAAGATTTGTAGCTCCTCGGGTTGCGGATGAGGTATGAAGTGGGCTATTCGGCTGCGGGGACAGTGTATGCATTACTGTGTTACCAATAGCCTCTGCAGGACTCGCAGATACTATCATTAACCACACAGTAAAATGTAACTTAGATGCATCGAGTGAAATGTTTCCACCATGTTATAAGCGGTCTGCGCGCAGGTAGGATCACTGATAGAGAAGTTTCGTCAGTAAATGTTGGAAGCAGTATGAACCAAAATATAAACCTTACACAGGATCTGGTGGTTTGGTAAACGAAGAATGCTGAAGATCAGGTAGCATCTTCAGAGAGAGAGAATTGAAAGGCAACGTTTTGTGGTGGTGGACTGTCATTCGTGAGGGCAGACTGGGTGATGCTTTGTGTCCTGTACGTAGATTAAAAGGCGTTTGACGTACTATACCACATTATGGGCTTGCTGGCAAAATTGAAATGTGGGATTTAAAGGGCCCTGTGACTGTGTACATACAAAATTTAACCAAGGTTTAAAAATAGCAGAAATATCTAAATTTTTAAAATTTCTGAACATGAAGAAGTGGTGAGCGGCTCTTTTTTAGACTAAAGGGAATTGTACAGTTGCATTTCTCGGAAGTTAGCATTGGGACTTCTCTTTTTTGTTATGTATTAATAACGTGGACGTGGGTAGAAAGTCCTGTCTCTATGCCGTATCATTCTTTGATTCTGTGAATCGTGTTTAAACAGTGCAGAGCTGCTTCGGAAAGCAGTGAGGAAGGAAGAGGTGTCTGTGTTCCTGAGAACCCTGAGGAAAGGTCACTCGACCTGCAACATTAACTCTGATTTCTCTCCACAGTTGCTGCCAAACCCGCTGAGCTTTTTCCAGCAGTTTCTGTTTTTGTTTCTGGATTAATAGTCTGGCGATAATACCATTAGGCCATCGCCTTCCTAAACTCCTGACAGCCAGACTCTCCTCATCAGTTTTTGGCTTCTAAATGCTTCAACCGAGCTAGATGTTGAGAATTCTCATTGTGGAACTTAGAGTGGGGTACCTGGTCATCCCAGTTCACTGCTTACTCCAAAAGACCTCCATGCTGGACAGCGGGCACCAATGTTTCAGGGCATGCTTCATAGGCATTGGCCACACTCATCCACCATCCATTGATATTGGTATCTGATATGCACCAGCCTCTTACAGTACATGTCTGAGCTTCAATGCTGTACTTCAGGCCACACTAGCAACTATCATTGTGCATTCAGGATCACACATCCAGCTCATGGACTGGACCAGGCTGTGTCTCCAGCCATTCTGTTTGCTGTTGGATTGCTAGCTCGTTCTGACTGTCCCTGGATGCTCACAGCATCCCGTGTCTTTTTATACTCGGCCAGCAACACCAGGCTCACAGTACCGCCATATCCTCATGCCATTTAAGTGCAGGCACAAAGCCAGGAAGTTCCCCAGCAAGCTTTAGTTGACTCAAGCGAGATAGCCTTTGAATGGAGTGTTCCTTCATTGTAAGTCAAGGACAGCCTCTGATACCAGGCTGAGACATGGTCAGTCAGAGTCCGGATTTTCTCATCGGGGCTGAGGAGCTGAATGTCAGGCAGCTCACCATTCATACTGACTCTTCCGGCCCTACTGGGGGCTGTTTTCCTCCTGGACTGAGAGAGAAGCAAGCATTAAAAGAGATGAAAGTGGGTGGTGCAGTTGGGGAGGTGTCCAAAGTGAGTGAGTAGGCAGCAAAGAGTGCATGCTGGGTTAGTGGTGTCAGGTTGGGGCAGGCAACAGCAAATGAGGGAAGATGTTGCAAGCATTTATGAAAGGGGTATGGTGAAAAATCTCACTAGGCCTAAACCTCAAATCCAACGCATCTTGCACTTAGCTAAAAAGGGTAAGGTTCTGTCAATTGTTATGATGTTACCCTTCCCTGCTGCTAATTGAATGTGGAGGTTCTACCTAATATTTTTAACTTTCTGATGCCAAATTCATAGTACATAATAAGATTCAAACTCAGATACCCAAGCTAAAAAGTAAACTGTTTCAGTACTGCAGCTCAAAAGTCTAAAATTGAAACGTCATGATTGCATTTCGTGAGAGTCCACAACTTTTAATTAAATATTTGATTATGTTACAGAAATGGATAAAATAGTTAACTGTCTGTATCGAAGACCTGAAGCACTTTTCAGACTCATCTGCTTTCCCTGGGCTGGAGGTGGATCTATACATTATGCTCAGTGGGGAAAACACTTTACCAATTTAATAGAAGGTAACAGCTATGAGTACTGAGATCTGTATTTTCAGTTGAAAAAATAAAGCAAATATGACTGTTGACTGCCCCTCAATTCAGGACTCTGTCTACACAGAACCACAAGTTTCATATAACTGAATTAAACCGATTGTCAATGAGTAGAATGCTGACATTCCACTCGATAACGTCACTGTTACAGCACCTGTTTGTTCGTTGTACTTCCAATAAAACAACAGCAAATTCTATTCTAGAAAAGTCAAAATTCAGTACTTAAGAGAAGTGAAACTGCCCACCTGTATCAGGAAGAATTTCAAACTTAAAGCTGTCCTGAGCTACATGTCTAATCATCAAACTATGTTCCCTATCAGAATGGGGAAAATAGCTGATTCTGTCTGCACAATCACATCATGATGCAAGGTTGAGAAGGTTCTATGGCCAAGTTAGTAGAGAACTGGCCCTGGATTTTCTTTTACTATACCGCCACTGGTCAGGTGGTAAATGGATAGGAACATTGGTGGTGAAGCTTGCAATTATGTTCCTGTCCAACCTTTGTTTTCCTCCTCCATACACTCCTCTGGAAAGCCCAGCAATCTTGTCACTATCTTGCTACATGTAAATAATGGCAGGAGGTGGATTGGCAGCATGTCTCATTTCTTTTTGTCTTGTTGCCCCTGTCAAACCCAGGATCAACTACAAGAGGAAATGACAGTAATTCCTGAGATATAAGGAAATGTCTAATCATGCGCCTTTTGTATGGAAGGACAGTGTGAAATGTCTGAAGAGATTTGATTCTCACTGCGTATCTATTCCAGTAACAAATTTCTGAAATTTGAAGACAGTAACACCAATAATCAAGTTCTTTAATTTCAGTTTACTCAATCCGCCTTCCTGGAAGAGAAACCCGTTCTAAGGAGCCTATTGCCCAAAACTTTGAGAAGCTTATTGAGGAAATTTCCAGCGCCTTGCTGCCCTGCCTTAAGGAGAAGCCTTTTGCATTTTTTGGTCACAGGTATGGAAGCTAATGAATCAAGTCTGGATTTATCTTGGGTGATAAAGAACCAAACAATTTCAGCAAAGAAAAGGTCCTGTTCGCATCGTTAAGGTGGTTTACTGCATACATTGTTTACATTTCAAAGCTAATACTCATGAAAATGTTAAAGTTAAAATGCTGGTGTCTGTCTGGAAGACTTCACTTACTTCACTTCTTCAATCTCAGTCACAGTTTAGACAAGGTAGTTGATTTATTCCAATGGAAAAGTAGAATTTTTTATATAAAATCACTAGTTTAACAAATGTATTGAAAATCAACAAGTGTCAGCCTCACATGTTTCCCTTTCTAACCAAATCACCCTTGTATTAAGAAAATGGACTGTATTTTGTATTTTGTTTTTAAATTTGGGAAGTGAACAGGAGGAATTGAAAAAAGGGAACGGACACAGAAGGTTGTGTGGGGGAGAGGGGAGGAGGAGGTGGCAGGAGGGAAAAGTAACTTAGCAGGAGTTATTTGTATGCGTTAACACCTCGCTCGTACCTAATCCTGCCTCCCATGTATGCAATTTCCTATTCTCCCAAGTGGCAGAGAGAAGGTACACAGCGATCAATTCTCGACATGAAATTCGGTGCGGGTACCTGACTGCTGCAGCTTGCTACTCACTCTGCCAAACCTCCAGCTTGACCAGCAGTCCTCAGCATTGCAGGTACACGTGGTCAGCAACTGAAATATTCCATGAAACACACGCAGTGCCCAACTGTATGTGATACAATCTTGACCATGCTATTGGTCATTACAGTTTGATCATTGTCATCTCCCTGAAGCAGA